TCCGGAATGGGCAAAATTTTGGTTCTTTAGCTAAATATGTGAATAGAGTTAATCTAGAGTTGGTTGGAGAAGGTCAGTACTTGTTGGCAAATAAAAATATTTGTAACGAATACTTTGAATGAATAAATTCAGTTTTGTTAATATCAATAAAAATAAAATCTAGAATGTCTTTAAATTTTTGTTTAAAGTAGAAAAAAAGAAAAAAATGGAATTCATTAAAGTGTGTGGTACAGTAATTTTAAGTTTACCATATAATGTTTATAATTTAGAATCATTAAAACTCTTTACTTATACAGAATAAAAATTATTGCGCAGCTGTAAAGTCCTAAAAAACATAATGCACAGCCTTTAAAGTTTTTAATTTTTACTTAATGAAAACATATCTATGTGCGGATGATTCTCCATGAAGCGTGCAATTTCATGTCCCTTGAGTTTTTTAAGAAATAAATTGTACATATTATATATTGAATCCAACGTGAAAAAGTAACTTTAGTGTTTATAAACAAAAGCCTATAGCTATATAGTTAAATGTAATTCTCAATGTACGTAAGAAAAATTATATCCAATATTTTTTATACTATCTATTTAAAAGATTATTGATAAATTAAATAATTTACAAAATAATATATTATTTCAATTACAATGTGAAAATGAACTTTTTTATAGTACATTTAATCTTTATTGCTTTCCGATTTCCTTGCAAGTGTATATCTATTCATTAAAACTATTATTTAACAATTACTTAAAGTTTTTTTAAATTTTATATTATATTTAATTTTTCCACATTCGTTTACGGCATTAAGTAAATATTGTTTTATTACTTTCTAATACTAAAAGAATTAAATTTTTCTAATACCCACACAGCACTGAAAGTTTAGTAAACATTTATTAAAGCTTTAACTGCAATGTTCGGAATGTTTAATTGCAAACTTGAGTAAAGGTTGCATAAATATTAAAATGTCCGCCATGAATAAATGTTTATCAGGAAAGTTGAGTAAACATTTAAATTAAATATTCGTTAAATGTTTATCAGGAAAGCTGAGTAAACATTTAAATTAAATATTCTTAAATGTTCATCAGGAAAGTTGAATAAACATTGAAATTAAATGTTCGTTAAATGTTTAGTTCGAAAGTTGAATAAACATTGAAATTAAATGTTCGTTAAATGTTTAGTTCGAAAGTTGAATAAACATTGAAATTAAATATTCAGTCAATTTTTGCGACGAACATTTCCTGAAAATTTAAATTACATTTTCAGAAAATAAAAATAAATAATTTATTTATTTATTTATTTATTTGGTACATAACGGGACATGCCCTTTCGTACAAAAGTACTCCTAAATTCTAATAGTTACGTAAGTAACAATACAAAATATAAAATATTAACTAAATCTAGGTAGGCGCTATAATGGTTAAAGTTCATTATAAGTTTATACAGTAAAGAATAACATAAATCAAATTACATTATTATCAAAAGAGAAGATTAATTTTCGATAAATAGAATCTGCTTTACCATTATATCAATTAATTTCAAAAATAATTGTTATTGTTCAATAATACTGATTTTCTCTAAATCACAATGTCTACATTTAGTTCTGTATGTATTTCCTTAAATCACTTTCATAGATAGAAATAAAATAAGTTTATCTCAAGGAAGGGACACAACCTTGGGCACCAAGTGGGGAAATCACTATAGATTCTCCTTACACGCATCTATTTGGACTGTAAGAGTGGATGTGCGATTTCTAGGGGGGATTTTAATTATGGTAGGGATTCCACGCCGGTAGACCATTGACACATTCATTTCTCCGTCTAATCGACGGGTCTCTAGTTCCACCCTCACTCTCTTAATCTCCTCCCTCTGCATGACCGTCCTGTCATTCGACATCCAAAGATCTTCCAACTCCCTTGAACGTGTTGAGTCTCTTTTGACACTTACAAATTTTTTTAGAATTACTTGTGCCTTCTCTTCCGTCTCACATACAATCTTAACAGGGCGAGGCTTACGAGAAACCTGCGCATTAGAACCAATTCTAAATGTGCGTATATTTTCAAGATCATCTTTTTTAATGAATTTTTTTAATTTAGTCGTAACCACAGATTTTAAAGAACCACTATTATTTGACGAAGTGTCATATTCTGGAAGATTGAATAAAACAAGATTGTTCTTTCTTTCATTACGATCAACAAGTTCATTTATACAGACATTAGTTACTGAATTAGAATCAATCTTTGTAGAACCATTTGCCTCAGATTTATCAAGTCTCCCTTCGACAACATTAAGACGCTCTGTCAAATCAACAACTCTGCTTTCCATATTACTCAGCCTACACAGTGTGTCATCGAGTTTTTTGTTGATATCTGACATGTTTTCAGTCATATTGGCAAAATTATCAGAAACTGTTGTTGATAAAACCTTAATAGCTCTCAAAATACTATCCAAGTTAACAGAGGTTTGTGAAGATTGAGAATTATTTGAAGGAGACAATGACCTAGGTTTACAACATTTGGTGAACGACCCATCAGGCAAAGTAGACAGCTGTAACGCACAGCTGGGATGATAAGGAAGATTACACTTCCTACACAAAGTAGGAATAGCACGTGTAATATCTTTACCACATTTTGCACAATTTTCAACACTAGAGGCCATTTTTGCACACAAATAATCGTTCAAATAAAAATAAAAAGTAAATTGAGCGAAAGCAGTTCCAATTTAAGTTACATAAACAAAAAACTTCACACAAGTATATCAGTCCAATGTTAGGTTAGAAAAATTCAAATCAGAGAGCCAAGTTAAGGCAAATGGTGCAGATAATAAAAAACTTCCACTAAAAACCAGCACAAAATAATGTTTATAACTATAAGGTTGTAAAAGAACAGACCAAACTTAAACCGTTTTATTTAAACAAAATCAACCGAGACACATGTGAACACGTGTTTAGTAGCTGCCACCTAGCGGCGAAAAAGAATATTTAAGAAAGTAAATATTTAAGAAGTATTAATAATAATAATAAAAATAATAATAATAATAATAATAATAGATCATTATTATTATTATTGTATTAATTTATATTAATAGTTGTTAATTATTATTATTATTAATTATTAGTTATTAATTATCGGAGGACAATAAAAAAAATTTATTTTTTTGTGAATAAAAATAAAATAAATAAGTTTCAACATCGTTGCTCTGCTTTGATGCTTTGTTTCACATTGAATCAAGTATTGCATGCTTGATAAAGAACAATTTTTGAAAACAAATTGGGGTGTGCTGGGGATTGAACTTACGTTCGCCGCGCGCTAGCTAAAGACCCTAACCACTACACTACAGATATCTGACTAAAAAAAAAAAAAATCTTCCACACACTCTACAACTTTCTGATAGACAAGTGATCCTACTTATCGACTCAAAAGTCGATAATATAAAGTTGTAGAGTGTGTGGAAGATTTTTTTTTTTTTAGTCAGATATCTGTAGTGTAGTGGTTAGGGTCTTTAGCTAGCGCGCGGCGAACGTAAGTTCAATCCCCAGCACACCCCAATTTGTTTTCAAAAATTGTTCTTTATCAAGCATGCAATACTTGATTCAATGTGAAACAAAGCATCAAAGCAGAGCAACGATGTTGAAACTTATTTATTTTATTTTTATTCACAAAAAAATAAATTTTTTTTATTGTCCTCCGATAATTAATAACTAATAATTAATAATAATAATAATAATTAACAACTATTAATATAAATTAATACAATAATAATAATAATGATCTATTATTATTATTATTATTATTATTATTATTATTTTTATTATTATTATTAATACTTCTTAAATATTATTTATTTTTATTTTCTGAAAATGTAATTTAAATTTTCAGGAAATGTTCGTCGCAAAAATTGACTGAATATTTAATTTCAATGTTTATTCAACTTTCGAACTAAACATTTAACGAACATTTAATTTCAATGTTTATTCAACTTTCGAACTAAACATTTAACGAACATTTAATTTCAATGTTTATTCAACTTTCCTGATGAACATTTAAGAATATTTAATTTAAATGTTTACTCAGCTTTCCTGATAAACATTTAACGAATATTTAATTTAAATGTTTACTCAACTTTCCTGATAAACATTTATTCATGGCGGACATTTTAATATTTATGCAACCTTTACTCAAGTTTGCAATTAAACATTCCGAACATTGCAGTTAAAGCTTTAATAAATGTTTACTAAACTTTCAGTGCTGTGTGGGTAATTAAAAATAGGTATTAACTATGAAAAAATTAAAGAAATTATCTCCTTACAATATGCAAATTGGTAAGAGGACTAAAAGAAAGAAAAATATGTAAAATTTGAATTTCAGTTAAGAGAAAAATAACAATTATTTTTATAATTTTATAAATCAATGAAAATAATTTAATTTAATAAAAAAAAAAATGAAGAAAAGACAAAAATTATTTATGTAGAATGTTTTCAATTTTTTTTAAATTTCGCAAAACTGTAATAAAATTATCAACAAGTATAGTGTAATAACATTTTTATACTAAAAATAAAAGATTGCAGTTTACATTTTCATTTAGAAAGTATATATTTTTATCAATAGCTTTCAAAGTTATACATTTAACTGCTTTAAAATTTAAGAATTTTTTATTTAAAAATTGATAAGTCTCATGTAGGTTTATTATTTAGGTACATATTCTTATTTTAATAATAATATATACTAAATTCCAGTATAAAATATTCTTAAATATGCTCCAAGAATATATTTTTAATTTCAGTTTAAGGGTTTTTCTGTGTTATTATTAGTTATTTAGTTTCATTTTGTTAATTAAAATTGATAATATTGTGAACATGTGAATTTAATTATGTTTTAACTTTTTTTATTTTCTTTATTTTTGTTCAATATTACTCTTTACGTCAACTTTTTGTTTAAAAAAGTCGTTGAAATATTATTGGTTTATATGTAACAGTAAAAAAAAAGTTATCATTTAACAATCAATAAAAATTTTGTTTTACAGTGAAACATTTGCAAACTTTAGTAGTATGAGTAATTTTCAGTTCTATAATAGTCACTCTACCGAACGTTTATAGTTATTTGTTCTTCGCAAGAAAAAAAAACTAATCAAGAGAAGGTAAAATTAAATTTTTCTTAGTCAAAGTTTATCCAAAATAATTTTTTTTGTTTGTAACAATTTTAACTACCCCAGATATCAATTATTATTAACTTTTAATAAGTTGATTTTATAAAAAATTATTCTGACACAAGTTGTTGACCCTCAAAGGGGGATATCCACCGATGAACTTGAATTTGTCCTAAATGACCTAAATTAGGTAGTTTCAAGGTCAACTAATTTTTTTAAATGGTACCAGCAGAAAATTCCACGTCGAAATCTTTAAAGCATTTTTTTGACCTATTTAGGTCAAATAAGTCATTTAATTTTTATTGTATTAGGGGGGGAATACCTTTTGACCATTTAAATTTACAAAAAAAAATTTCAGACTAAATTTGTTGTCCTCAAAGGGAAACATCCAGTGGTGACCTTGAATTTGTCCTAAATGATCTTGATTAGTTTATTTGAATGTAAATTCATTTTTTTGAAATGGAAACACATACCCAATCAAAAATTTACTAATGGCGCAGTACTGGCGCAGTACTGGCACCCAGTATTAGCGCCAGAGTTGGCGTAACTTTGGGATGATAACATTTTACCAGTATTGGCTGCCAGAGTTGGCACCAGTACTGGTAACCACTACTGGTTCAGTACTGGCTGAATACTGGTAGTTTTGTAATTTATTGTATACGAAAAGAAAGCTTTAACTGTAACAGAGATAAGTTTCACTGTAATAGTGAAATCTCTGCTCCAGGCAATATACTTTTTTTTAGGAAAAAGTGTGTGAAATTTTTAGTAACCCAACACAAATTAAATATTAATTAAATTAGTCAACTAACTAATTAATATTTTATTATATATAAAATCGAAAACACAAAGAGTTTTTATTTTTTATTAAGTATAATATATATTGCAAATTATTATTTAAAAAAAACAAAAAATAAATATAAAAATATTTTTATTATAAAACCAAAGTTTTTATAATATATAAAAACAGTTCAGTAAAAAAGAAAATGTTTATAAAATAATTATAATGTATATCATTATACAATTAGCTATTTAATTATTTTATTATTCACTTTAATTTTATTTGCATCAAAATAAATTTTTGAAAAACTTTTTTAAGAAAATAAAAGTTGTTTTTTAATTTTTAACAAGTGTTATCATGCAAATTGTTTATTCTTCTACATGGATAAAAATTGTAGAATCGGTCATTGAAGAATTGGTATTTATAATTATTAATTTACAAATAATCGGAAATTGTAGAATCGGTATTTAAAAGTTTTTATTTTTCTTGTTAAAGAAAATTTGTAGAATCGGTCATTGAAGAATTAGGATTTTAATTATTCCTTTTACAGATTAACAAAACTTGTTGAGACGGTCATTGAAGAATCGGTATTTAAAATTGTTTATTCTTCTACATTGATAAAAATTGTAGAATCGGTCATTGAAGATGAACGGTTTTTTTTGTACAGTTGGTTGTGTAGAATCGGGTAATTGTAGGATTGAAAAAGGTTGAATTGACTCCCTGCCATCCACTTTGTGTAGCTCTAGGTTGCAAAGTAACAAAGTAAAGCTTTATAAGAAATTAAATGTGATCTATTTGACCTAAATGTGTCAAACTTTTGGAAAAACTTGCACTGAAAAAAATTTGCTTCGCATTAATGACTTTAATGCAGAGCAACTTTAAATCTAGTCAGCGTAACCAAGCATCCTAGTCAATTCAGTTATGTAGCTTGCTTAATATTGTCAAAGTCGATTTAGTAGAATTGACCCCTTGTTTCCTAGTTATATTAACTAAGGTGTTTCTCGGTGTTTGGTTAATATCGCATGTATCTACAGTCAATTTTGCTAAAGTTTATTTAGTCAAAGTGATTCTAGCCAATGCAATGTAACTAAGATACCTGGTTATTCCCCTCATAACAAAAGGATATCCCTAGGATATCCATATCAATGGTCGATATCCTAGAATGGTCCCCAGGATATCTTGGGATATCCATAGGATATCCCAACCGCCGGTCTGTGGGACATCAACAGGACATTCATAGGATATCCACAGGATATCCCTAAGACATCCACAAAATATCTATTGGATATTATATCGCAGGATATCCATGGGATATCCTCAGGATGTCCGTGGGATATCCTTAGGATGTCAGTGGAATATTCTTAGGATATTCACGGAATATTTAATATCTCAACATATATTTTTAAAGGTTAAAATTGTTAAGCTAATATAATAAATAATAGTATAATAAAAACAAAAATCTTATGAGCTTCTAATTTATTTTAAATGAAGATTTGAAACGCATTTTTCAAAGTTTTTAAATAAACTCATGCACTTAATGTATAATTAATATTAATAGTTATTCGTTATTTGCGGGGAAGAATTTATATTGTTTAAAGCCAATTTATTTTCTGACAATATTAAGCAAATAAATAAAGGAATGAATCACGAATGAGAAAAAAATTAGTTAATAATTTTTCAAATTAAACAACTTTCTCGAAAAACAAGTTGCATTTTATTTTATTTATATAAAATTTAATTCACAGAATATTCTCACTCGTAGTCTCATAATGACTTTAAAAACAGTATCCTGAGAATATCTTCTTGACATCCAGAAGATATACTGAGAATATCCTCAAAATATCTGTGGGATATCCTGACGATATCTATGGGATATCCTGATGATATCTGTGGGATATCCTGACGATATCTGTGGGATATCCTGATGATATCTGTGGGATATCCTGACGATATCTATGGGATATCTGGAGGACATTTATGAAAGTTTATAGAGATATCCAGAAGATATCCTGTGGATATCCTCAGATATCCATGGGATATCCAAAGGATATCCAAACCGCCGATTTTTTGGATATCCTTAAGAGATCCTTTTGATATCCATAGGACATCCCTAGGATATTTGCGGGATATTATCAATATATCCCAAGATATCTTGTGTTATTGGGGTTCTGATAAGCTGCCCTAGTCATTCCGACTAATTGCCGAAATCAACTTTGACCAAGATTGCCAAGTGGGTTCCTCTCGTAACTAGGCAAATTAGTCATTACCTGGCATACGGGGGTTAGGAATTTTTTTCAGTGTGCTCTATCAATTCCTAGGATAAAAAATAGATGATTCCATTTTAAAAAAATGAGTTGACCTTGAAATGATTTAATTTTGGTCATTTAGAACAAATTCAAGTTCACTGGTGAATGTTCCCTTTTTGGGGGCAACAACTTTTGTCTGAAACATTTCTTTGTATAAATCAAGTTATTAACAGTTATTTCGCCTGATAGATTAAATTAAAATTTGACAATCATTTATATTTATAATAATAACTTTTTTAAGAATTCGTAAAATTGTTTGAGAGTAAAACGAGAGATATTAATTTAATACCAACTTTAGGTACTAAATTGCCTTTTGGTTCTATTTTAATACTTAAAATCGGTACTATTTGATTATCTTCTTTTTACTTGTCAAAAAATTAAAAATTATTTTTGTTACATTAAAAGCCAAATAAAATAAAATATGTACATATGACTATTTCAGTTCTGGGGTCATTGAAAGTGTAGAGATATACAAGTCAAACAAAAAGAGAAGATAATAAATCAAAGGAAATATTAAGTGTAACAATACACGATGAATAGCACAACAATATCTGCTCATCATTCATCAAATTTACAGCTTTTTCCTGTTTGTGTTTTTTTGGGTATCACCTTTTATAAGAGTTATTTAATTCCACTAGGAGAAGATAGTATGAGACATCTTGAAGTGTTTACTTTTTTTGAATATTTGAATAATTTCGATAATGAATTTGAAATGAAAAATCAATTTTTGCAAAAAATGCTGAAAGAAAGTCGACCTTCTAAGGTAGAAGATTATGAAATACCTGATACGAAAAACGTGGATAAAAGATATCAATACATCATTAAGACAAGTATTTCTAAGGCAAATAGAATCTACATACGAGGTGAACCAGTTAATTCTTTGACAATTGAAGTATTCAACCGGGCAAAGAATGAAATAATCAAATTTTCTCAGAATTTTAATAAAAATAATCAACATTTTCCGTTAAATTACATCGATAAGAGCCCATGTCTTCTGGGAATAAGTGTCAAATTGAATTTTTTTGTAACTGAAAGTATGTATAAGAATTATATTTCACCAATATTCCAAGAAAAAAATATTATTGGAAATTCTCAAATGGCAAGAAAATTGAAGATTCCCTGTTCTTTGGATGAAACTTTATACAATAGCTGGACAATGGCACTAAAACAATTTTGTGAAAAAGGCATATCTGGTATAAGGAAAGATCAAGTTTTATTGAACAGAGTTCGAAGAAGTGTCGAGGTAATTAATAATTGTCAAATCACAGTATTAGAAAAACAGAAAACTGAAAATGAAAAACAAAAAGATATGTATTTTACAGAAATAATATCAAAAAAAGGGTTTGTTGAAGTTTTTAAGAATTTGAAAAGAAAAAAAGATGTGTTTTATTTTAATGATATTACTCTATTGACAGATATTAATTTCGATTATGGAAATATTTATAGGAAAAAATCAAAATATTCTTCAGGTCATACAAACGTTTTATATCATATTAAATTTACTTCTCAACATAGACTTGTCAATTTAACTGCATTTAATGATAGGTTTAAAAACCAATACATTGTATTTCCAGAAATTGATTTCCTTGTAACAGATGTCATATCTTTTCATGGAATTCTACAAATTGAATTGGAGGAAAAACCAACTACTATAGACGAATGGAAATCAATTAGAAGGGATAAATATATGTCACTTAACAATAAAGAGAAGTCTAAAAGAATGAAAATTATTGAGAATGCTGCATACCTTATATCATTAAATGAAAATTTTAAAAGAATATATAATATAGAAAAATATTTAAGATTATTCATTTTAAATATCGACAGCGGTTGTATTAATTCAGTTCCTTCTTATAATATGTTGGCATGGGATATTCAACAAGAAAATATTATTTTTCCATCAAAATATTTGCATTATTTAATGAATAATACTAATATTGTCATTGATGATGTGCTATTTAACAAAAAAAATACATTATATCCGGTTAATTATTTGAATGATGAAATTATCATGATAATGTATGTTTCTCGTGAGTCTACTGATTTGATGGTAATAGAACATGTGTTTAAAAAATATTTAAATGAATCTAAAATTAAGTACATCATTAATTTTTGGCAATACTATTTCATTTATAAAGTTTTATATAAAAAGGAAACAAATTATAATTATGTACGTGCATATAATGCTGCAATATATACACAGGCTCTAAGGCAATGTGATGAGAAATTTATCAATGATGAAACGATCCTTTATCGTGCTGAGTATATACCTATTAATGATTTCTTAATTTTATCAGATTTCGTTAATGGTGAGCTATTAAGTTATCAAGAAACATTTGAACTTTATTACACAAAAGAAGAAGCATTGGAAAATTGTCTATTTAGTAAAAATTCTTCTGTTGGTAAATTAATTATTCACAAAGTGAAAATTAAAAACCAAGCTGTATTATTGGATTTTAATCGTATATTGAATAAGGATTTAGAAACAAAGTACTTACTTCCTCAAGTTATTGAATTGAAGAAATATAGCATGGAGCCGATAAGTATTGAAGGTAAAGATGAAGATGCTATAGAACTGATAGAATATGAGGACGACGATACCCCAAAAGAGAAGATAATGGTTAAACTAGCAAATCTAATTGATGTACACTTAAATGTCGATCATCCGACGAGAATATTATAGAATCAAACGATTGCAATGTTGATAATAATAATATGAATTGAAATCATAGTGTTATTTATTTTTCTTTCATAATAAATTTGTTAATAATAATTAATATAATTATAATTATTGAATTTTTTTTTTAATCAAAAATACAAAATTTTTTTAAAGTTTCTCTGACTGAAATAGATTTTTAAAGACTAGTGCCAACCACTGATCTCTATAATATATAACTCTTTATTTTGAATGTCTAATATAAAAAAAATGTTTTAAAAGGAATTAAATAAAATTTGTTATGTAGTAGAGTCAGCCGGGGTAAATCCGAACGCTTTTAATAAGTTTCAACAATAACATAAGTTTTTTCTTTTAAAAGACAATACTTCCGGTATTCTGGTGCATGAAGTTGTTACTTTATACTTCCATAGAACAATTTTATGGGGTAGCAAAAATTTTTGATAAATTACATTCGCAGGAAACTTAGCGTTCGTATTTACCTCGATATACTTTGCAAATACGAACGCCGCACTAGAAAAATCTTAGGGAAAATAAATTTAAAGTATTGCAATTGTTAAACTTATATAAAAATTCAAAAAAAATACGATAATAAACCTATTATGTAATAATGCATCATAAATAAATACAAAAATCAAACAGAATTAAAATGCATTACACAATTAAAACCTTCAATAACTTTATCAAATCATAACGGATTTTTGCAAAACTTGCTACCCTGTTGAAAATTCCTATGTGAGAACACATATGGGATCCCATCCAGGATCTCTTGTGAGTTCTTATGTGGGTTCCCATACAGGTTCACACATAAGATCCTGTATGAAAAGGTTCCTGGGATGAACTTGCGTGAGATCAAGCGCACGATCTTATGTCTCTCACGGTGGGCTTGGATTAAGTTCAACCCAAAAGTCTTTGCACATCACCGTTTTCTTTTGGAATTACTTCGGGGATGTCTTCTGATTATTTTAAGACAAAAATGAAAATAATCGGTGGAGGGAAACTGAAATTATCTTGATTTTTCATTTTTTTTATAGGTTATTCTATGTAATTTCTTTAAAAAAAGGTTTCCTTCAATTTTTTTTCTACAAAAGTTGTATTTCGGATTCAGTAAAGAATCTCTATGATAGTTAATGAATTTAAAAAATTTGAACTATTAAATTTGTTAATAAATAATGGAAGAACATGGTTTTTCATTCGTTTTTTGAAATTAACTCGTCTTGTAATTAATTTACACCAAAATTTTTCAAAGATAATTTGAAGTACATAAGATTATCTGTAAAACTGAAAAAAGAAGACTGTTCTACCTATTACCGTTCCTTAGATATGACACGTTGAAGTTGCTATTCAATGAAAAATTTAAACTTGGGAGCTCATTATTCGATGAATAATAATAATAATAATTTATACTACTGAAGATAAATTAATTTTATCTATCGCAAATTATTCGAAAAAGAGTCCTCTTAATTATGTTTTATTATAATTGTTATATTAGGATATTAAATAAAAGAATTCATCGAATAATGAGCTCCCAAGTTTAAATTTTTCATTGAATAGCAACTTCAACGTGTCATATCTAAGGAACGGTAATAGGTAGAACAGTCTTCTTTTTTCAGTTTTACAGATAATCTTATGTACTTCAAATTATCTTTGAAAAATTTTGGTGTAAATTAATTACAAGACGAGTTAATTTCAAAAAACGAATGAAAAACCATGTTCTTCCATTATTTATTAACAAATTTAATAGTTCAAATTTTTTAAATTCATTAACTATCATAGAGATTCTTTACTGAATCCGAAATACAACTTTTGTAGAAAAAAAATTGAAGGAAACCTTTTTTTAAAGAAATTACTTAGAATAACCTATAAAAAAAATGAAAAATCAAGATAATTTCAGTTTCCCTCCACCGATTATTTTCATTTTTGTCTTAAAATAATCAGAAGACATCCCCGAAGTAATTCCAAAAGAAAACGGTGATGTGCAAAGACTTTTGGGTTGAACTTAATCCAAGCCCACCGTGCTCTGTAAAAGCAATAACACAGGATCCCATGAGGTTTCCTGTGTAGGTTCCTATATGAACAACACGATAAATAGGAACACACATGGGATCTTATCCGAGATCTTGTATGAGTTCTTACATAGGTTCTCACATATAAGAAGATTAATAGCATATATATAAAAGCATTCTATAAAATCTTATTAAGCTGCTATTAATCTTCTTATATGTGAGAACCTATGTAAGAACTCATACAAGATCTCGGATAAGATCCCATGTGTGTTCCTATTTATCGTGTTGTTCATATAGGAACCTACACAGGAAACCTCATGGGATCCTGTGTTATTGCTTTTACAGAGACATAAGATCGTGCGCTTGATCTCACGCAAGTTCATCCCAGGAACCTTTTCATACAGGATCTTATGTGTGAACCTGTACGGGAACCCACATAAGAACTCACAAGAGATCCTGGATGGGATCCCATATGTGTTCTCACATAGGAATTTTCAACAGGGTACAGAAAGTATTTTGGAGTGATTGAATGTAAATACAAAAATAAAAGTGAAAATTTTTAAATTCAAAATGGCGGACTTTCCTAAAACTTATTTTTAAAAATGATCAAATTTGCTAACTCCAAATTCGTAATCACCGATTCTGAAACCCACCGAATAACAATTTTCGAGCGAATCCAATGAAATTTTTAATTCTCGTCCGCCATATTGGATCCGCCATTTTGAATTTTGAAAAACTGACTTCAAATTGGTAATCAGCGACCCCAAAAACCCTAGAATACCAAATTTTATTAAGATCCTGAAAAACTTTTTTCAACAAACTATTTGGCAAAAAAAAAGTGGAACACTCCTTCGAGAGAACAGAGATTAAGTTTCTGCTTATTAATTACTAACGAGGATACATATAGAAAGAAAAACTTTTTTCTATGTACTTTTATAATGTTAAAATAATAGTGTAATCAAATAAAAACAATTTTTGATATAAGAAAAAATGATTGAAAATACCGTTCGGATTTACCCCGGTTTTCCAATTTTCCGGGGTAAATACGAACGGTCTGATATTATTAATAAAATTTTACAGAAGGCAAAAATGTAAAATAGTTTCTGTTCTAGTATTCGTAACAAACAATTATAAATAATAAAATGAATTTTTAGCTTCTTTTTCTTCAAATACGAGACAAAATACTGAAAGAGTGTCATCTTTGATTTTCAACCTTTTTTGCAATACTCGTTATCTTTGTTTATGCTGTTGCTAATTAACAAACGAAAAATGGGATAATACTTAGAATCTCTTCAAGAGGATCTGAGGTAAAAATTCTTATGTCTATAATTTATTTTTTAAAATTTTAATTAAGCTGAAATAATTAGCGTTCGGATTTACCCCGGCTGACCCTAAAACTCAATATATTCTTTTTTTGTTTGGTTTTTTATTTAAATTACCTGAGTGACGTTATCGACAAAACGATTAAAATATACCAATGCACAAGTACACACTTATAATAATAACGTCAGTACCTGATAATTCTTTCTTTCAGGAAATAATTTGTTAGCTTAAAATAAGTCACATTTTTTAGTTAACTTATAGCTTTGATTATTATTCAAAAATGGAAGGGGAAGAGATACTGCTAACAGTTTTCATGAGTGACAAACATATTTTCATCTTCATTCTCAGTGTCTTTATAAGTTTGGACCAGTTAACACATTGCTTTCCAGCACTGTAGTAATTATTTTGTAAAATTTTATTTATAATTTCTAAATTAAAAATGAAATAAAGATAGTGTTAAAATTAAAGGTATATAGTAAAATACAAATTTTAGTAAAGTTAAAGTGCTTTATTAAAGTTATGATGCAGTGAGTGTAAAAAGAAATATTCGATATTTTTTACTACTAAACGTAAAGGTAATACTTTATTTTCTTGTTTTAAAAATAAATTTAACAGGTAGTCGATCGAAAGAGATTGAAAAAAGAGAATCTCGTAAAAAAAAAACTAGGGTAGAGCGGGGCGAAATGAGCATACGTGGTCAAATAAGACATTAAATTCTGATGTAAAATAAACTATACTTTTTGTAAATATTTTATTGAATATCAAAAAAATTAATAATGTTAATTACATTTCCAAGTAAATTTTAAATTGACACGAAATAATAACGCAGGGAATAAACTTATTTATCTAATTTGACCCCCGTATGTTCATTTCACCCCGCTCTATCCTACAAACAAAAAGAATCCATAGTTTTATTACTTCCTGATGATAGTGCTTGGAAAATTTATAATTTGTGTTAACAATTTATGAAAAATTTTATTTGTTTTTAATTTTTTGTCATAATGGAAAATCATCATTTAGAATGTCCTCGAACTACATAATATGTTATCCAGCGATGAAGAAAATTAATTACAAACAAATAGATATATTTAGAATTTTTAAATAGTCATAAATTTTTACTTTGGACGGTTATCTTTCTTTTACAGTTCCGCATTTATTATAACAACAATATAATTTCTATATTTTCTAGCAGTTATAAATAATTACTTTGTGCAATTTTCATAAACTATATAATATAATTATACTTATCCACATTGTTAGTTTGCAAACGACTGTTAGGTAACATGATTCCACATAATAAATATTATACTTCATATCACTCGAAACAATGTTTAATTTTTTTTTTTTTTTTTGCTAATTTTAGAACAGTCAACTCCTCTATTCATTTGTTATTATCGAATTGAATCGTCACAATATTTCAATTAAAAAATTGCGAGTTTCTGGAAAAAATCATAAACATATGAATTTCATGGATTTAATAAAATTTGTTTATAAAAAATGGATAAAAATTGTGATTTTTGTTTGAATTTAAAGAAATATTATAAATATGAAATTTTTTTTATTTGAAAAAGTTAATTCTAGGGAGTTAAGAAAACAATTTCATATCTCTCTGTTCTTTTAGTGAGAATAGAGAGAATTATCAAATTATTGCTTCCTCATGAGGAAGCTTTGCATACGTGACGTTTTTCGATTTTTTAAAATTGGGTTATATGGACTCATTTTCATCTAGAAATAATATATATGAAGTCCTGAGTAAATGTCCAGATGTATGTGTGTGTGTATGTCACAAAATATTGTGTACAAATTATCTCAGAAACGTTTTAACGGATTGTCCTAAAATTTTGTATGCTTATTGTAATCATTAATACCTAAAATCTGACACAAGGATTTCCGAATATATTCAAAACATTTTATTTTTTACAATTTTTTCAAAATTAAAAAAAAAAATTTTTTTTTTCAAAATATTTTTTTCTTTGTAAATTTAATTTTGTTTAGTAAAAAAACTTATTTCTTGCATTAAAACGAGTCGATTAGCCTATATAAAGTTCATATTTTACTGAAATCTATAGATTAAATCATTTTTTTGAATTTTTGAAAATAATCGTTTTTTGTATTTTTTTGAAATAACTTTTTCTGATATAAAAATTTTAATTAATTCTTGTCAAAATTGTATTCCTGGCATAAAAACAAATCGATTGAGGTATACAAAGTTTAAATTTTACTATTATTTATAAAATTGATCGCTATTTTAGTTGTAATCCTTCTTTTAATCTTGAATATAAGTGTATCATGATGAGGAAGCTAAACGGTCATGAAATGAACACCTAGTTTTTAATATCTTAAAATTAAGCCATTTCAAACAAAAAATTGTCAAATTACTAATATTTCTGAAACAAAATACCTTCGTCAAATTTTAATAGCAAATAAATTATTATATTAAAATATATATATATTATATTATTATTATTGTTATTATTATTATTATTATTATTTATATTTAAGGTTACGAAATTACGTCGTTAACGCGTCCTATGATTAATATATTTATATTATTCAAAAGAAAATAAAATTTACACGATAATATATTATGGTTGATGAATTTCTTAATTCCATTCCCAGATAATTTTCAGTGGATTGAGACATTTTTTAAATTAACTTGAAAACGATGTACAAATAAATAGCCAAAATCACTAAATTACAATTGACTCATTTTTTATTTTTTTAAAAAATAAACGTTTCGCTTGACGGTAACTGTTTCATAATTAATTTTCTCATTATTTATAATATTTTTTATTTATAAGTTTTGTCAATTTAGGTAAAAGCTTCATCAGCTCAATGAACTATTTACAATATGGATGGAAGAAAAGAGAATGTGAAACCAAATCCTAGGGAAAAAGCATCATGGCTATCAATTTTATTATGGTGGTATGTGGATGATTCTCCTGAAAGATCCCTTATTGATTAATTTTTTTAAAATCTCTTCGTTATTATGTATTGTTAATTTTCTTAGTGAAAATTTACACTTTTCATTATAGTTAATTTTATTTTATTACAAAACTGTGAAGGTAAGATTTTCACTTTGACAAGGTGACAGTAATTATAATGTATAGTGAATTCACAAATTCGAAAAATTAAAAAAAAGGGGAAAAAAATGGTTCAAAAAGGGAACTTTCAAAAGAAGCATACCCATGTTCATTAAAACCGTTTAATTAATGAATAATACTTTATAGTATTTAACAATAAACTATTTTAGGTGGACAGTACGTTTTTTTAAAATAGGTTACACAAAAGAATTAGGAACCGAAGATTTATTCGATCCACTAAAAACAGACAAATCATCCCTTCTTGGGGACAGACTAGAAAAGTTGGTATTTGTTATTAATATTATTTTATAAATTCAAAAGTATTATTTTCCATTAAATATATATATATGTCTTTTTTCAGTCAATGGAAAATAGAAGTAGAAAATGCGAAAAAACATAAGAAGAAAGTTAGTTTATTGAAAACACTTTTTCGAACATTTTTGTGGGAATATTCTGTTATTGGTATACTTCACATATTTAATGAATTTATCTTAAGGTATGTAAACATTATTTATATATTAAATTTAAATTTAATTCAATTAGAAATAAAGTATATATATTTTATCTTTTATTTATTTGCTTACAAATAATGCTTTTTTGTGAAAAGTATTTAAATCAAGTTGAACGGTTCATTATAGTGAAATATTTTTTATCCTATCTTTATGAGAAAGTATAATTTTCATGAAATTAATAACATAATCCTTAGAACCTTCTTCTATATAGTTTATTTATATACCAAATTACATAAATGCTGTCCTTTCGGTTTGACGGCATTTTGAAAAGTGATACTTCTATAACAATTTTATTAATTAATGTATAATAATGTAATGTATAATTAAAATGAGTTCTGTATTGTTAAACCATACAGAATGGGAACTCCACTACTTTTAGGTGGTTTTCTACAGTATTTTAAACCAAATACAGATGTTTCGTACCAAACAGCACTTATGTTTGCTGGAGGAATTTGTCTTGGGTCTGCTATAAATGCGATTACCTTGCATCAATGGATAAATAGTGCTGTTCATATTGGAGGTAAAGCACGGATAGCTGTTGGTTCACTTGTTTACAGGAAGGTATTAGTTTGGTATATTTTATCATTTCTGCAAGTGTAACAGATTTTTCAAAAGATTTTACTAAGATCCATTTAATAAGTTATTCGGTTAATTATTTTCCAGGCGTTGAAACTTAGTAAAACTGCTCTGGGAGAAACGGCCCCAGGGAAAATAGTAAATTTAGTCGCAAGCGATGTCAACAGATTTGATCGCGTTTTTGTTTTAATCCATTATATGTGGACAGCGCCTCTTTCAGCTTTGATTATTGGATATTTTTTATACAATCAAGCTGGATATGCTGGACTTATTGGAATTGCTGTTGTTTTTGTCGTCGTGCCAATACAATGTAATAAGAATTATTGTTCGATATGAAAATTCGATTTCACTATTAATTTTACTTCATAAAATTCTGTTAAATAAAAATTCAATAACTTCACAGAAAATTGAAAGTTATTAAAATAAGCTGCAACGCTTATTATTTTAATCCAATTTTGCTTATTTTAATACCAAAATGGATTAAAATAAGCAAAATTGGATTAAAATAATAAGCGTTGCAGCTTATTTTAATGCCTTTTAATTTTCTGTGTTTTAATTTGACGCCACGAAATTTCCGATAGGTGTAATGTGGTTATTAACTTAAATGTTAGATTTTCTTCTTAATTTTCAATATTTATTTTAGCATATACCGGCAAGTTGTCATCAATTTATAGACTGCAGACTGCAATCAAAACAGACGAAAGAGTGCGACTTATGGATGAAATAATCTCAGGAGTTCAAGTGATAAAAATGTACGCATGGGAAAAGCCATTTTGCGCTTTGGTGGAAATTGCTCGCAAATTGGAACTGAAAATTGTCACAAAAAGCTCCTGGATTCGGGCAATTTTCATGACATTTAATATCTTCACAACTAGAGTGGCTTTATTTGCAACTTTATTGGCAATGCTATTATATAAAGAACAATTAACGGCTGACAAAGTTTTTGTTTTTTCATCATATTTTGCTGTTCTGGCACACACAATGACTAGTATGTTTGTACAAGGTTACGCGGAAATTGCAGAATGCCTAGTGGCTGTTCGAAGATTGCAACATTTTATGATGTACGACGAATATCAAGAACTTAATCCTCATTTGCATCAGTCATATATAACTAATGGAAAAACTAAGAAAACTGATAAGAGAAATTCAATTAAACCTGATCTCCCTTCCATTGATGAAAATCTTAACGAAGAATTAAAAATAAGACGAAATGGTTTGTTGATGCACATTTTTACAATATAGAAAATCACCCATAAAAGGTAAGTAATGTGAAATGTTTTTTTTTATTTGTTTGTTAAAAATAGACGTGATGGATGAATCTCCAGAGATATGGGTAATAAAGCTGGATAATGTGACAGCAAAATGGGAGCCCGGCCAATCGGAGAACACCTTGGAAAAGATTAATCTGGAAATTGAGGCCGGAAAATTGTACATGGTAATTGGAATGGTTGGAGCTGGCAAGAGTTCATTGCTGTCTGCAATTTTAAAAGAAATCGCACTTACAGAGGGAAGTATTAGAGTCAAGGGCGGTTTGAGTTATGCAGGTCAGGAATCCTGGGTTTTCGGATCATCCGTCAGACAGAATATTCTCTTCGGCCAAGCCTACGACAGACAAAGGTACCAGAGAGTCGTCAAAGCGTGCGCTCTCCTCAGAGACTTCAAACAGTTTCCTCAAGGAGACCAGACCGTTGTTGGCGACAGGGGAAGTTCCTTGTCGGGAGGGCAAAAGGCCAGAATCAACTTGGCGAGGGCTGTCTACAGGCAGGCCGACATTTACCTCTTCGACGATCCTCTCAGTGCGGTAATTCTCATTCCTTACCATTTCTTCCACTATTAGAAAATAATAGTTACGTTCAAATGTATTTTCACGTTTAGAAATAAAAACGCAATTTGGAAATAATTTTGGAATGTTAATTAGGTGGACGCTCACGTGGGGAAGCATTTATTTGAAGAGTGTATGAAACACTATTTGTCCGGTAAGACTCGAATTCTCGCAACGCATCAGCTTCAGTATATTAAAGGAGTCGATGCAATTATTCTTCTCGATCAAGGAAAGATGCAAATTTACAAGAATTATCAGCAGCTTCTGCAAAGTCATCCTGAATATATGCCTCTCATAGCGGCGGAAAGTAAACCTGATAATAAGGAAGATTCATCCATAGAAAAATATACAATGCGAAGACAATTTTCTATTTCGAGTAATAGAGTAAGTATATAATTATAGTAAAAATAAAATTTCTTACAATTAGTATTGATAAGTGAATTAAATTAGATTAATTAAGAGTGTTCAACGATCTCTGAAATTCTTTGGCATTTAATTATCGCACCCTATAAAAACGGCACTGAACGTGAAAATGATAAACATTAATTTTAAAACACTATTTTCTCGAATTATGAACACTTTTTATAAAATCGAACGACGTAGCAAGATTTCTTATCTTATAAATTTCCAAATTCCGAAAGATTTTTCAAATCCATACAAAAAGGCGATCGTAAAAATGGAAATAGGAAAGTAATATAATTTTAGCTTTATTACGTCCTGTAGCCGTTAGGTGGCAGAAGCATGCAGGGAGCACAAAGTCGCAGCTGTCATTATTATTACTTTCCTTTTTCTATTTTGCGATCGAATTTTTGCATGGATTTGAAAAATCTTTTGAATTTTGGAAATTTATAAGATAAGAAATCTTGCAACGTTGTTCGATTTTATAAAAAGTGTTCATAATTCGAGAAAATAGTGTTTTAAAATTAATGTTTATCATTTTCACGTTCAGTGCCGTTTTTATAGGGTGCGATAATTAAATGCCAAAGAATTTCAGAGACCGTTGAACACTCTTAAACTTAATTGAATTAGTTAAATTTGACTATTTTTTCAATTATCTTTCCACTGAAAATTATAGTTAATTTTTATTAATAATCGTTTTGTTTACTAATTACTGAAACAGATAGTCGGCAAAGAATTTACTTACAATTAGTTAAAATGTGCTAGTGCAAAATTTGAAGAAGCTTGGCACCTAATAGATACAAAGTTAGGTCAAATTTTCAAAATATTTGCCAATTTACATTTCTTTGGTCCATTACAAAAAACTACTTTGTTTCTAATCATAGAGCATCGGATTCACTTGAATTCCCTTACTCGGGGTTTTTTGGGGTCGCTGATTACGTATTTTATGTTGGATTTTCAGTATTCAATATGAAGTATCCAATAAAGTCAAAAAAAAAAAAATTTTAATTGATCCTATTCGCTTAAAACTCGTTACATGGAGGTTTTCGGGGTTATTAATGCTAAGCAAAACAGTGAAATATAAGAAAACGCGTTTTTTTAACTTCAATTATTAAATTTCTATTATAATTTATTAAATTTACTAAAATTTGTTTGTCAGGGAAATTTCAGGAAATTGAAAAATTTATTTTTGTGGCAACACTGATAAAGATTAAAAAAAAAATTCTGAAATCAAGAAAGGATTATTGAGATTTATAAATTATTAACAATTAATTTTCGTCAGAGTAAAACATCAGAAAGTGCTGGTGATGCGGATATTGAAGAAGAAGAGCAAGATCTTAAAAATATGGACGCATTGGTAGAAGGAACTTCAAAGGGAAGTGTAAAGGGGTCTATTTTTCTCAATTATTTCAGAGCTGGAGCTAATTTATTTTTTAGTTTCATTGTGCTTATTTTATTTATCTTGACTCAAGTTGCTGCCACTTTAAATGACCTTTATGTCCCTCTTCTGTAAGTCTGAGAATACGAGAAACAATCAACATATTATTAGAAATATTTTTAAATATTAAATGTACTATGAATCTTAATATCATATGATGATATATGTGCCACTCCACGAGAAAGGGACCTTAGAGGCAAAAAATTTTAAGTTATGTTTGTGATTTTTGGACTGAAAATACACAAAGATAATTAATTTTTAATAGAGAAGTTTATGTTTTTGATCCAAAATATTCAATAGAAACTGATTTTGTTATTACATAATAAAAAATGAATTAAACTTAAATTATCAACTAAACATAAATTAAATTTTTCTGCCTTTAAGGTCTCTTTTCTCGCAGATCGTCACATAATTATGTAATATGAAATTACTATTTTTAGTGTGACAGCAGAAGAAGCAAAACTATATGAAGCTGCAAACATAACACGAAATAATACAAACAAAGGACTTTTTAAAGTTCAACCATGGTCACAGGAAATTTACATTTACATATATATTGGAATAGTAACATCAATATTTTTTCTCGCCATTACGAGATCTTTTGCATTTTACGCTTTATGTATGAGAGCGAGTCAACGTTTACACGACATGGTATTTAGTGCGCTGATTAGAACGGGAATGCGATTTTTTGATACAAATCCAAGTGGTCGAATTCTTAATAGATTTTCAAAAGACATGGGAGGAATAGATGAATTATTGCCCAAAGCTGTCTTGGATGCTGGACAAGTAATCATGATGATGATAGGATTTTTGATTATCACTTGTACCGTCAACTATTACTATATCATTCCAATTGTTTTCCTTGGTACCGTATTTTATTGGGATCGAAAAATTTATATCAAGACAAGCAAAAGTATTAAGCGCCTAGAGGGAATCAGTATGTGCTTTATTTTAATTGAATTCAATTTTATGAAAATTCGTTATTCAATAAATTTATTCTTCCGCAAAATTTTACGAAAGGATAAATTCTTATATGCTAAATTCTTATTAATTTTGTAACTAGCACGTTCACCGGTATTTACTCATCTCAATGCAACCCTCAATGGACTGACGACAATCCGAGCATTTGGAGCTCAAGAAATTCTCAAACATGAATTCGACAAATTTCAAGATTTGCATACCTCTTCGTGGTTTATGTTCATCGTGACAAGTTCGGCTTTTGGATTTTCATTGGATATTTTTACTTTTATTTTTACGACACTGGTGACGTTTAGTTTTCTCATTGGCAGTGATTGTAAGTATTTAGAAATTAATCGTGATTCTTTTTTTACTTCCAATGGTCTTCGGACATGTTGCTATGAATTCGGAATTAATCCAAAACAGTCCGGTATATAGTAAAGCTTCTGTCGTCCAGAGTTACTCCAGTTAAGTTCAAAATTAATGTTATTTGTGTGACTAATAAATCCAGAATTAATCCGATCTAATCCGAAATTAATTTACAGATCGTGATCATAAACAGTGAATGCGAAATTACTTCTGTTCAATCCGAAATTTATCCGTCTTGTGTAATTAGTAAATTCGAAATCTGCATTCACAAGTTACGTTTGATCAGTCTGAATTCAGATTAGACCAAATTAATTTTGGATTCACTAGTTACACAAACCGAAAAAATTTCGTATTTAACCTATTACTAATTCAGAATGACAAAAACCTGACGATAATCCTGACTGTTTCGGACTAATTCCAGATAGTTCGAAAGATATCGATAATTCGATACCCTATTGAAAAATCTCACATGAGATTGCATATGTGAAATCACAAGCGAAGTCACATGGAAACTGAAATGTGAACTCTCATGAGAACTTACACAAGAACTCAAATGGGAACTAACATGGGAACTCACATAGGAACGCACATAGTGTTTTGACCCCGGTACACATGTAGTTTCCCATGTAAGTTCTCACGTAGGTCCTCAAATTCAAAAATTCTTTTTAATACACAAAAAATACTTTTAATTATAATTGTAAAGCTGTCTTAACTAAAAGAATAAAGAGTAATTCAGACAATCCATGAATTATGATTGAAAGAAATTATATATTATAATTTTATAATAGAATTGTTTTTAATTAAAAGAAATGTTAATTATCAATTAATTTTATTTAGAATAAATTTTCCAATAAAAGAAATTTTAAAATTTAATAAACTGAAAAGAAGGATAATTCAGAATATCTATGAATTATAATTAAAATAAAAAATATATTATTATAATCATTTGATAATTACAACCATGGAAATTCAACATTTTTAAATAGCTTCAGAAAATAAATTTAATAATAATACAAATTAGGTACTGCACACAGCTGCGCGCAATCATTTACTTTCGTGTACACACATACCTTAGAGATTTCTATTGTGGGTATAGCAGAATTTTCATTATCAACATTAATAATTTTTTGTAACATATTACATGATTTCTCGAAACAGTCTGTGGTTCTTATCATTTTGACAATTGTGTACTCATGCATATTATATGGATCTGCTATAAAAGAAATTATCTGTGCATATGAACCGTTATTTAATTTTACAAAAGAATTATCAGAGCGTTCGTTGTTTTTCATAGAAGACATATACAAACAGTTCGATTTAACAATTTTTTTATATACAACTGCTTGTTCAGACAGACTTAATGTTTCCACCCATACTTTTTCTACCGAAGTTCGCGTACCGAAATATCTTATTTCCCGAATTTGTAAGGAGTTTTTAGCAAATGTTGTACCAAGATTATTATATAACATTCTAACTGGGTACGAGCAATTCGGATATAAAGTGTCTTTTAAAACTAAATCGCAATATTTTAAACTTATTCGACGGCAAATCTGATGATGGACACCTTTTGCAGCATGAATAACTTTTAATAAATCGCCATTTCCAGATTCAAAGCTGAAAGCATTATGAGCCCACAATGGACCCCAATTATAAACACTTCTGGCTAAATGAACAAGCAAATGTACATTAAAAGTCATGGATGGTTTTGAATATATTATTTCAGTTTTCATAACAAATTCCTGTAACAATTGGTCAGCCAAATCTATTTCAAAATTGGTAATTTCATCTTTCATTAATAAATAGATAGATTCGACAAATAAAGCCCAATGCATTGCATATTCTTTTGGTAAAACTTTTTGAAAAATACTCATACTAAAAAACAGGGTCCAATTTTCCCATTCACGGGCTTTCCAAAATTCCTTTTCTGTGAAAGTACGCGTTAATCTAACAATTTGATGAGGTGCTTTAATATTTGTTAGTATAGTGTCTATGTCAGGAACAATATTTTTCGAAAACAGACCAGATTTCTGTTTATTGCCAAACAACATTGTAGCAAATTGTTTGGATACGCCGCTAATTAAATGCATACTATCAGGTATACAACCTAATATAAAGTTAAATTTGATTAAATTTATCAAATGAGATGCACTTTTAACTCCAAAAACCGGTTTTTTCAATTTAGATGCCTCTTTCATATGCCGTATGGTATCTTCAATATTCCTACTTTCGGGAACTTCACTTTGCAGAGGATATTTAATATATCCTGAAGCACGTTTTTTTGATTTCCTTTTATTAAGAACCCATTCACCAGGGTGTAAACATTGATTACATCCATAAATTCCATTATATTGAACAAATCCCTGAACTGGTGCGCGAGCTACTGAATCGCAACAGCAAACTTGATTAAAGACTTTTATAATAGTTTCTTTTCCATTTATTATGCACTGTATTCCTTTTACTGCAAGTTCATTCATTTTTTCCACAAACGGACCGAGAAAAACGTTCATATTTGGTTTTTCTTTGCCAAACCAAAGACCGACTAAAATCAAATCCTTTGTCCTAACGTGAAAAGGCAGTTCATTTACCATTATGAAAATTGGCCAAATAGAATAAGTAGAACTTTTGAATAGTGGTGCTCCATCGGTATTAAAAATTAAAGTAGCGTAATTATGTTTGTCAGCATCAGATAAATTTTTAACAAATTCACGATACAATTTACCGTCGTAAATATCGCGCATAACACCTTTTTCATGAATGCGTTCATTTACCACGTAACTATAATATTCACTGTTGTAAGAAATCAAATTTGCAATATGTGAAGATGGGTCCATCATGACAAAAAAATCTTTATATTTGTAATCTTTAACGTTAACACTTTTGCCGCATATTTTACATTTTACAAAACGGTCTTCTTTTTTAAATTTACCCATATAAGCAGAACAACTTGGGCAAGTTGCATGAAGCTCCATGCAATTTTTTGGATAAAATAATTTATCGATTAAATATCGCGTATTTGGTACAATATTGTATGCAAAAATAGAATTAATCAACAAAAACAAATCTGTAATTTGTGTTAGTGACAACGCGTGAACAATTGCGTACTTCAAAAGTAGTAATACTAATTCACTTGTACTTGCAACGATTGGAGCTGTTATGAGAGTTTTGATATGTTCACTGCTAATCATATCTTGAAGGGATGAAAAAGATTTTTTGAACGTAGCCGGCAAACTGTCAGATGTCATTGAGTTTTCATCTTCCTTTAATGTGTCCGGGAAAAGATCATCTTCATAATCTCGCTCTAGATACTTAAAAACAAATTTACAATGAAAAATCAATATACTAATAACATTACCAAGAAATAATTAAATTTACTTTTGAAGTAACATTTTCATGCATACCTGATGATTTGTCTCACAATATTTTTCATTTTCATCTAAATCCTCTTCTAATGATTCAATAATGTTTTGAACTTGATCACTACTGATAGTTGTTGGCTGGTTTTCATTAACATTATTCTACAAATAGCATTTAAAATAAATTTGTGCGTAACCAGATAAACATTTATATATTATTGGTGGGTTTTGGAAAATTTATGTCAAATTTAATAAAGAAGGAATTCTAGAAAAATTCCTTAAGCTTAAATACTTCACTTTGGATATTTTTATTATAATATTATAACATTTTATAAATATTTGGTGAAAATATAAAAGTAAAGTGTAAAAAAGAACACATTAGCACTTAATTTTCGAAAAACCACTCTTTCTACACAAAAATCACTAGATTTTTGTTGACTTAATTTTTTAAATTATTATTTCTTATTTTACATTAACAAATTTACCGACTTGTTAAGCAAAAATTTGCATTTTGACCTACAAATTGGACTAAAAATTCAAATATCGTTGAAAAAGGTTGACAAGGTCACTTGGAGAAACTCAATCGCTAAATAGCCAAAAAGGCATTTTGTTGTAAAATATTTTGGTTGGCACTTTTAAGTTGTTTAAAAAAAGTTTTTAATAGCATCTTAAAATGAATTATAATCTTCAAGATGAAAGATCTTTTAAAAGTCTTAAAAGTGGCTACAATGTATTTTAAGGTGTTGATTTTTGCAGTCTAACAAAAGAATGTTGGTTTATTTATTCCAGACAATCCAGTAACGTGCTACATTGTGCACCTAGAATTTTTTTTTTGAGACGTTTCCAAAAATTTCGTGTCAATGAGTTTTATTTTTATTATAGTATTTTTTTTAGTTAATATAGTTATTTAATTTAATATAGTTATTTTTTAGTATTTCTCTTTTAAATTTTCATAAAATATTTTAAAAATAATTTACTATTATAAGAGAAGAATATGAATACACTGAAATTATATAGCCAGGGTGGCCAGCCAACCGGGATAACCGGGAGAAATTTGAATCGGGAGAAAACCGGGAGAAAGCCGGGACTGAAAAATTAATCCGGGAGATTTTATATGAGCCAAAAGTTTTGAACGTTCAAATGACCAAAATATTTTTTTCAATCTATAAATTATTAGAAATTATAATGTCAATGTAAAATAAAACAGTAAATTAAACAAATATTAAATTAATAACTTCTTTTTATATATTTAAAACAATATTTTATATTAAAATTCGTACTTAAATAAGTTACAAAAAAAATTTTGTTCATTTCAACGTTCAAAACTTTTGGCTCATGATTTTCTTGGTTTTGTGATTCGCGCAATTATTCGAAAATTGTTCAACTTTTAACCACCTAAAATTTCGTGTTAATTATGTAAAATATATGAGCAATTCCACGTAAGATTGAAGGGTCTATCCTCCGATTCCATCTATAATACGTGTAATCTAATTCTGTGTCAAAAAAGAATATTAAGTATTATTAAAAATCGAAAATTAATTATAAAATGTTATTTATAGAAAGACTGAAAAATACCGTGCCGAGAAGGTAGGAAACCCCCGCTAAGTAAACGGAG